AGGAGGAGGAGGGAGGAGGAGGAGGACGAGGAGGAGAAGGAGGGGGCGGAGGAGGAGGAGCAGGAGGAGGGGGGGGGATGTGGAGGAAGAGGAGAAAAGGGGGAGGAAGAGGAAGAGGGAGGCCTCCCCCGAGAGCTCCGTTTATCCGATGGGGACCAATGCTTGCGCGGCGTCGCAGTGCCGTTTGGCGAGTTATGTAGTCTGAACAGGAGGAGGAGAAGGAGCAGGAGAAGGAGGAGTGAGAGGAGGAGGAGGAGGAGGGGGGAGAGGAGGAGGAGGAGGAGGAGGAGGAGGAGGCGAGGAGGAGGGGAGGGAGGAGGAGGAGGAGGAGGAGGAGGAGGAGGAGGGGGAGAAGAGAGGAGGAGGAGGAGGAACATGATGAAGATGATGATGGTGATGGGGATGATGATGATGATGTGATGAGGAGGAGGAGGAGGATGAGGAGGAGGAGGAGGAGGAGGAGGAGGAGGAGGAGGAGGTGTGGAGGAGGCGGAGGAGGAAGAGGAGGAGGAGGAGGGAAAGTGGGAGGAGAAGGAGGAGGAGGCGGAGGAAGAGGAAGAGGAGGATGAGAGGGGAGGAAAAGGAGGAGGAGGGGAGGAATGGGGGCGGAGGGGGACGAGTGGGGGTAAAGGAGGGGACGATGGGGGGAGGAGGAAGAGTAGGGGGAGAGGAGCAAGGGCAGGGGGAAAGAGGAGGACGAGGAAGAGGTGTCGTGTTCGGCCGCCTCGGGCCGCCTGGGGGCGAGGAGCGCCCAAAAGCTTTTCGAACCACGACCGCGAAACTCGACGAATAACCGAAGCGCATTCAGCCATTCAACCTCCTCGTCGTTTGTTTGGCCGTTGCCCTGGGCGAAGCTAGAACCTAAGCGCGCGCGTAGCGCGCGCGTGGTTCTAGTGTATGTATGTATATATACATATATATATATATATACACGCACACACGGATTTACACTCGCCCCCCTCGCATATTTCAAACCATACATCTACCTATACATGTATGTATACGGTAATGCAACACAACACCGCGTACGTAGCATGTATATGTACAGGCATACACCACCTGTGTACAGTCTGTACCATAGGCGCTCTCTCTACATCTGAATCAACGACAGATGTGTATAGCAAGGGTGATCCCCCAGTCGCCCCCCCAGGAGGCCACAGGATGCTCTGGGGAGCCTCAGAGGGGGCCCAGGAGGCACCAGGAGGCCCCAGGCGGGCCCAGGAAGGCCATGGGGGCTGCAGGAGGCTCCAGGAGGCCCATGAGGTTCCAGGGGGGGGGGGGGGGGCAGTGTGGGGGGGGGCGTGGGGGGGGCAGGAGGCCCCAGGAGGCCCTGGGAGGCGATGGCCAGAGCGGCTGTCGATCTGCTGCCCAGGCGGTCCAAGAGAGATTTTGATGCTCGTAGATGGCCCCATGACGGCCCCAACTGGACACACGAACCGTAAGAGCGGCTCCACGAGGACCCACGAGGTGGCGTCCAGAGGCAATGATCACGGATATCTGTCGGGTTTGTGTTCAGTCTGCTCGCCACAGCGCGACAGCAGTCCAACAGACATCCTCACAACCTCGCGCCCACAAGTTGGCTTACTTCGAGTCCTATCACTCCTTCCCTCGTCCTGTCCTGCTGCTGCTCCTCATCGCCGTCGCCCTCATAACCTATTGTTCTGCTTGCCGATTGTCCGCTTCGTTTTTCCACCATGAATTCGTCCAACCTGTTTTCATGGGTTCTGCCCCCGTCCGACACGGCGACGCAAAACAGGCTTCAACACAGCGTGCACGGCCAGGTGAGAGGCACCATGTCAGATGTGGTGCTGGCGCGCGCGAGTCTCCCTTGTCCCCCCCTCCTTCGCCCGAGGACTTCGTATCCAGAGCCTCGTGGCGTCCCCGGTCGCCATTCCATAGCTTGGAATTTGTGTTCCCAAGGAGCCGCCCAGGTGTTGTGCACCCACCCGCCCCGATTCGGAGAAGGAGGAAGAGGAAGAGGAAGTGGAGGAGGAGGGGGAGGAGTGGGAGAAGGACGAGGAAGAGGATGGTGAGAGGGATGATGAGGAGGGTGGTGAGGAGGAGCCGTTTGGATGTAGGATGGAATGGCACGACTACACATGAGGAGCAGGGGCAGGAAGCAAGGGATGTTGATGATGATGGTTCATGATGATGACAATGATGACGATGATGCTGATGCTGACGTTGATGCTGATGATGCGGATGATGATACGTTTGATTATGAGGTTGATGATGATGATGATGTTGTTGATGACGATGATGCTGCTGATGATAATGATGATGCTGAGGATGATTATGATGATGATGGCGATGATGACGCTGATGTTGCTGATGCTGGTGATGATGCTGATGCTGATGCTGATGCTGATGCTGATGCTGATGAGGATGATGCGAATGATGATGTTGATAATGATGATGATGATGATGATGATGATGATGATGATGATGATGATGATGATGATGATGATGTTGATACTGAGGATGCTGACGATGGTATTGATACTGGTGTTGATGCTGATGTTGATGACGATGCTGCTGATGCTGGTGATGGTGATGATGATGAGGAGGAGGAGGAGGAGGAGGAGGACGAAGACGAGGACGAGGAGGAATAGAGAGAGGAGGATGATGATGATGAGGAGGAGGAGGAGGCGGAGGAGGCGGAGGAGGAGGAGGAGGAGGGACGATGAAGGGGAGCAAGAAGAGAGACCTACAGAGAAAGCTGGGGGAGGGAATGGTGGAGGAGAACGAGGAGGATGTAGGTGGGGGATTCGGACGAGCCGTTGCGCCTGGGCACCGACTCGCCCCCTTCAGGAAGTTTCAGGAGGCCCCAGGAGGTTCCAAGGGGGGTGAACCCTGAGCAGGCAGCCCAGGCGTCCAGGAACCCACAACCCCGTCGGAAAATGCAGGGCGGCGGAGTTATGCGCCGACGTCGCTTTTCGATGGAACAATCGACGTCTGCACATGATCCATGTTTTAGAGCGCCCAGCGCCGCGGAGCCAGGGGCGGGAGCAGCGGGCCCAGGAGATCCAGGAGCTCCCAGGAGGTCCCAGGACGTCCCAACAGTTCCCAGGAGGTCCCAGGAGGGTCCAAGAAGCTCTTGGAGGCTCCAGGATGCCTTGGGAGGTTCCAGGAGTCCTTGGGGACCCGAAGTATTTGGGAAGTTCCAGCAGGCCACATCACGCCCCAGGAGGCGCGAGAAGGCCCCAGGAGATCCCAGGAGGCACCAGAAGGCACCTGGAGGGTTCAGGAATCCCCAGGACGCTCCAGGAAGCTCCAGCAGCCCCCCTCCCCCCCCAGGAGGCCCCAGCAAGCTTCGGAAGCCCCAGGAGGCCCCCTCCCCTAGGAGGCGCCAGGACGCCCCAGGTGGCCCAGGAACATTCAAGATGATATCCCGTCTTGGTCGATCGCACGGGAGGGAGGGAGGAGGGGGGGGAGGGAAGGAGGTCGGTCGGGCACAGCTTGGAGGCGGACGCCTACTATGATGTCTTGTCGGACTGCCGCACGCCCTTCGCGCGGCCGCCGCGTACCTCCCCCCTCTGGAAGAGGACGCTGGAAGCTCTACCCCCTGGTACCCCTTGGGGTGGACTAGGGTCGATATATGGAGCCGAAAGTGGACAGCGAACCAAGCCTGTCCCGCCCGCGAGGCACTCCTTTGGTGCCTCCGTCGGATCGCCTCGAATCGGAGGGAGCAGGGAGGAGGAGCACTGCGTTGTGAGGTGCGTGTCAACTCAGGCCTGGGCCCATTCCGATTTGGTCGATCCGTTTAAATATCAATTCCAGCCTGCCTGATCATATTCGATTCCGATATTCTGACGATCCAGTGCGGGCCGATGTTTGCATGGCGTTGTTATGCACCTTGGTGCGGCCGATCGAAGTCGCTTTCGATTATGTGCCGATGTATCCCGACCCGACGCGCATTTCTAAGTGATTCGATTTCCAGAATCGACGCCGGTTGGTGCTACCCTGGCCCACCAGAGGCTGCCCCAGCAGGACACTACCTCGCGCTGGCGTTCGACGGCGAGCTGCTCGGAGGTTGGACTCCGCCCCGTACGTTGGCTCCTACGTTGGCTCCTTGCGCTTCTGCACAGTTGGCAGTGCCGACGCTGGCAGTCCCGACGAAGGGGAACTCCAGATGGAGATCGAGTCCAGCTCGAGCTGGGCGGAGGCCCTTGATGCGCGCACCGGGCCGAGTCACCGACCGTGTACGGCGCTCATGGCTCTCAATGGCTCGGGCGGGATGGGCCCCCGTGATCAGGCATTTCAGTGTTCAGCCGGATTGTCCCCGACGACCTGGGGCTCACCATCCTTGACATGCATGGGGCGAGGCGGCCTGCGTAGCCGACAGAGGGCGACGAATGTGACTGTGCCTTTAGATCATCAAGTTTCGCGGGCACTCACGGCCAGGAACTGTGTGGAAGTCGGGCATACACGTGAGTGCTGATCCCGCTGACTGCATCAGTTGAGCAGCAACGTCCACGTGCTCCACCTATAGTCTTGTGTGCGCCCACTGCCAGCATCTTTTGTTGTAGAAATGATGTGGCGGCTAGTCGGATCCTCTCAGCAGAACATGTGGCAATTGTTTGTGAAGGGGCGGTTCGTAGAGCACTTCCATGCAGCTGTCCTGTAGCGGGGCCCGGTCAGCAGAGCACCCGATCTGAATCTCCCACGGTCGGTTCCTGTGCGTTTTGCGCATGGGGGGCCAACAAGGGCACGACGGACTGCCTTGAACACCAGATTCGATCGGTGCCGCTTGTGTTGTTTCACCTCTTCTGTGCCTGGGCCCGCCGATGTATTGGCTCAAGCTAGTATTGCGCACGTGCCCGCGCGATCGACCGTTTTCACACTTTCCATTCCTTCCACCAGAAAAGTGTCTGCCTTCATATTTACCTCTTGCATCCATGTCTCTAGTTTTCCTCCCTCCTCCGCCTCCTCTTTCTCTTCCTCCTCCTCCTCCTCCTCCTCCTCCTCCTCCTCCTCCTTCCCCCCCCCCGCGCCGCCAGGTGGCTGGACCCAGGCGGCCTCCAGCACTGGTCGGAGGGTGGCTCTGTCGACCAGGACCCAGCGATGTCGGTCGGGGTTTTTGGGGGGACATTTGCGCGTTCCCGCTTCTCCTTCCTCTTCCCCTCCCTCTTCCCCGCCTTTCCTCCCGTTTTCCTCCGCCCTCCTCCCTCTCTCTCTCAGCGCACGGGCGAGGTTTCACGTCCGGAGGTTTCGCACCCGTGGTTTTCGTCGCTGCCCCCCAAGCAAATGCAAAACGACGAAAGGGCCAACCAGCAACAGGCGAGCCCGCACCCCGGAGGGTGCGGCGTGCACGCACGCGGGGCGTCGATGGCGTTGCGCTTGGGGGGGAGTTGTAAAATAACGCCCCTTCGAGGCAGCTGCGGCCCTCCGTGGTGTTTTTCGTTTGTCGTGGGCCCATCGTGGAGGTTTTGCGCCGCCGCGGGTCAGAACGGACCCCAAGAGGGGCTTGGGGACCGATGCTTAGTGGATTCTGGCGGGAATGCGTCCCAGGATGAATTTCGAACACCCAGAAAAATATCGAAATAGTGTCTGTCCGTCATCTATGCACACCAACGCGGTCGAGTCCGCGGCTCTCGCCGTTTTGAGATCCAGAGAGGCGTCAAACAGGGAGACGTCCTGAGCCCGCTGCTCTTCAACGCGGGGGTCGATGCAGCGCTGCGAGTGTGGAAGAACCGCGTGAGAGGGAAAGGTGTTCTCGCTGATGACGGAGACCCCCTGACAAGCATCAGATACGCGGACGACATCATGATTTTCGCAACGTCACGCAGTGATCTCATCATCATGGCCACAGCGCTAAAGGAGGAGCTTGCGAAAGTAGGTTTCAGCCTGAACGCCAGAAAGACCAAGGTGCTGACGACTTCGGACGACAACGACGTGGTCCCGCTTGACCTCGGAGAACAGCCCGTGGGAATCCTCACTGGCGACATGGCCCACAAGTACTTGGGGAGGAAATTATGCGGCAACCTGCGCGCAAGGAATTCCCACGAGCTGGGCCACCGGATGCAGATCGCGTGGATGCGGTTTCATAAACACCGTGACATCTTGACCAACAGGCACCTGAGCATATACTCCCGGTTCAAGTTTTTCAACACGGTGATCACGCCAACGATTCTGTTTGGCCTCGCGTCGCATGCGATGGCACGGGCGCGGATGTGTTCTTTGGACGCACTGCAGCGGCGAATGCTTCGAAAAATCGCTGGTTGGACCCGCCTTGTGGACGAGCCGTGGGAGGACGCAATGCGAAGGATGCGATTGAAAGTCGTTTCAGCCTTAATGAAATACCCGGTGGAAGACTGGAGCGCCCGCTGAGCTGCTGCGCAGGCAGTTTAGAATAGCTTATCGAGTGGGCAGTATGATTGATAGCTGGCCTGCAAGATTATCTCGTTGGCATCCCCCTACAACTTTTCCTGGGGCTGGACGTGGACGTGGGCGACCCGCAGTGAGATGGGATGACTATTGGCGAAGGTTCTCGAACACTTATTTTGGAACAGACTGGCTAGAAGCGGCACTGACCAATGATTTTGCAACGCACGAAGACGACTTCGTGCAATTTCCAATCGAGCACCAACAGTGATGCTCGAAGTCTCACACAGTCGCGCCCGATCCTGGGCCGAGCTTTGACTCGATCGGACTGCGTGCTTGCCGTCGCTGCAGCGAAGTGTCGAGTGAAGTGTCGCTCAAGTGCCGCCCCCCCGCGGCCCGACACGTGAAACCCGTCGCATTCGCTACAATTGTATGGTGTTAGAGATTTGCTGGGTGATAAGGGCAGAATAGTAGGTTCGTAGGAACATTCTAAATTTGGATGTTTCTTAGTGGCCCTCCCGGCTTCCAAAGGGCCCCCCATGGAAGCGCCTTTCTGGGGGCACCTTCTCTCGTCCAAGGAGGGCCGCCCCGCCGCGCCCCCCCCCCCCCCCCCCCCCCCCCGACTCGCGCCGCGAATTTGCGGGCGCCCACGAGGGGGGAGGGGGGGGGGCGACGGGGGGGGGGGGTGGGATCTGGAGGAGGAGGAGGAGGAGGATGAGGTGGAGGAGTAAGATGAGGAGGAGAAGGTGCCACGCGCAGCTGCGCAGTCAATTTCGCAGCCTCAGCCAGGGGGGTCCAGTTTCGCGAGACCGTGCAGAGCTGACGGCACCGACCGTTCGATGAACCTTCTGCGCCAGGCCACTCGCGAGGAGAAAAAGGCGTTGAAATATAGCGTTCTGGCTGGTTTACCAGGGTGGTGGATTCGGAATGGCGCCCGCCAGATTGGAGAATCAGTCGGGGTGCTCATTGCGCACGGTACGTGGCTCAAACCTAATGCGCATCCAGGAAAGATATCCGACCACGTCGACCCAGGTTTCGACGTAGCGCCCCCCGAGATCCGAAAGGCGCGGCCCAACCTGAGCACGAACCAATCGTCGGAACTGCGTGCTGCCAGCTGCGAGGACGGAGGCTCCAGGCGCGTCTACGCGGCGTCCAAAGCCAACCATGGAGGCGCGATGTTCTTCTCCGAGCAGAGCTACACAAGGGCGCCAGGCTGGTTCGCAACGATGAGGCATTCACAATATTGCGGATGACCTGCGACACGAATGCGGCGTGGATGTCAGTTGGCAACCGCGACATTCACGGCGCGAAACAGTTCAATATTTTGAGAGAGCCGGCGAGTGGATAATTCCAACGTCATGCGGGCGCCTTGGAGCACGCTGCGCAGATCGCTGCGGCAACGCAGCGCGCTGGAAACGCAAGGGCGCGTGGACGTGGAAGCAAGCCCGTTGGCGGACGCAAGACGGCCCAACAGGCGAAACAAATCTTTGCAAACAGGAACAAGGGGAGGGCATTGCAATTTGTTGACTGCACTCGTCCAAGCAAAGCACGGTCATCGGAAAGCCTCGACATGCCGAGCGACAAGCTCGAAACCATGAATGTGGCGTTGCCAGATGACGGAGAGGACGATTTGGTAAAGATCGCGCACGGGAGGTTAGCGCGGACTGAGCACACCAAGACGTCGCAAACCATGAAACAAGTATGTCGCAATGAGCAAGGGAATATCAGTTAGACCGCGCGACTATGCCATGTTGGACGAGGACCTCTGACATTTGTTCAGCGACACACCTGAGGGAAGAGAGCCCCTGGGAGCACTCGAGGGCCAACGCGACGGCGACGGCTTTTACGGCCGATCTGAATATATACGCAATTTGCATTCCGCCGTTCCAAGGCCGTGAACGGGGTCGCTTCGGCGCAAGGGGGGCCGATGGCCCGGGGGAACTTGCGCAGTTGCCAGGGCAATCTTGGCCTGAACATGGGAGTGCTGCAGCGTCGAAGCGGCCGAGGTCACTGGCAAAAGTGGAGCCGCAGGCTGCGTCAAAATGCCGGGGCTAGTTAAAGTGCGCCAGGAGTGGGGGGGGAGAGCATCTGGAAGCCAGCGGAAGGAACGGGGGGGCAAGGTTAGGGATCGCGGATGATATTTTATACGTGGCCCTCCGAAGAGGGGAACAGCGGGGGCGCCGGCGGTCTGCGAGGAACTGAAGAAGCCCGCCGCGGGCGCATAATTTTTCAAGCTATGCAGAGAGCCCGCCGCAGGCGCCAATTTTTGTGTCAAAATAGTGTGGGTGGGTTGCGGGTTGGGTCGCAGGCGGGCCCCAAGTGGGTCGACGGTGGGTCGCGGGTGGGTCGCGGGCCGGTTCGCGGGCGGGTCGCGGGCGGGTCGCGGGCGGGTCGCGGGTGAGCCGCGGTTCGGTCGCGAGCGCGTCGCGGGGTGGGTCGCGGGTGGGTCGCGGGCGGGTCGCGGGGCGGGTCGCGGGCGGGTCGCTGGGCGGGTCGCGGGCCGCGAAGGAAGCGGAACTTGCGCCGTGGATCCCCACTTGAGCCTCGCACCCAGAGACAGTGAATGACCGTGCGGCCCCCTCACTCTGACTGAGTGGGTCGCGGGGTGGGTCGCGCGCTGGTCGCGGGGTGGCTCCTGGGCGGGTCGCGGCGCGGGTCGCGGGTGGGTCGCGGGATGCGTCGCGGGGTGGGTCGCGGGTGTGTCGCGGGTGGGTCGCGGGCGGGTCGCGGGGCGGGTCGCGGGGTGGGTCGGTGGGGTGGGTCGCGGGGTGGTTGGCGGGGTGGATCGCTGGTTGGGTCGCGGGGCGGGCGGCGGGGCGGGTCGCGGGGCGGGTCGCGGGCGGGTCGCGGGCGTGTCGACGACAGCGAACAAACGACAACGCAACGACGCAACAATCAAAACCGCCACCGCGGATCACCGCTTCCGCCGCGCACCCTGTGACAATGAATGCCCGTTCGGCCCCCTCGCTTTGACGTGAGCGCGGCTCGTTGCGAACGTTGCGCCGGCTGGGATAACGGGATTTTCACGCGCGCTGAGCGGGGGGAAAGATTGGCGCGGCGGCGCGCCGAACAGACTGCGCGGTGGTAGGAATGGGGGGCCCTAGCAAAGGAAGCCCATGAAGTGCCCGCGAGGGTAGAAATGGGGGGCCCTAGCAAAGGAAGCCCATGAAGTGCCCGTGAGTGACCGAGAATGCAGGGTGGAAACCACCCCGTTTACCGTTTATTTTGGGATCAACAACGCTATCGGACGGCCGATCGCGGGAATTCGCCGGCCCCGCTAAACCGGGGGGAGCTTCCGAGAGCGAATAATTATTCAGACAGTGCTTGCTTGCATTTAGGGGTTCTTCTTTTGCTCAACCATATCAGGGTGACTGGCGGCTTCCGCGGGCGACGCCGCCCGTCGCCGCCGCCGCCGTCGCCGTCGCTGTCGCTGCCGCTCGGGGCGAGCGGCGGCTTCTGCGGGCGGCGCCGCTCGTCGCCGCCGTCGCCGTCGCATGGGCCCCTTTTCTCCGGGGGGATTTGAGTGTAACCCCCCCCGGGGTTGCCCGTTCTTTTTTTTTTTCGCATGGCAAATTGAATGTGATTCTGCCCCATCGCCCATCTTAAAAATTAACACGCGCCCTCGGGCAGGCCGGCATTGGCGCCCCCCGTCACCCTCTGCAGAACACCCTGCACGCGCGCGCTCTCTTTTCTGAAATTATCAGTTTTCAAGAATCCCTTGCCGAGAGAAAATGCGAAGTGCACGCGCGCGCGTCGTTGCGCGCGAAGTGCACGCGCGCATCGAAAACCTTGCGTTTCGCGGGGGTTGGACAACCGGGCGTCGACAAGCACGAAGAAAACATGGCTTCGCAGCGCGCGTTGCATTTACATGAACAGAGCTGGGACGAAGTGCGCGCGCGTCGCCGCGCACGCATGTCGAAGTTCTTCAAAAATTGGTGCATTCGTTGCGGTGTCGAAATCGAGCAACCAAAACGCGCGCGTGCATGCCTGGCTTCGCAATGCCGTTTTATCAATATAGAAAGACGCTTGCGCTCGCGCACTTGCGAATACTCCGGAAAACGATTGGTGTTCCAAAATTTTCATAACTGCTACCAAACGGGGCTTCGCGCGCGCATGTCGAAATCGCTTGAACGCCCTCGCGCGCGAGCTGTCGCGCGAATCCCTTGCAAATCACGGGGCGAAGTGCGCGCGCGCGCGCCGTCGCGCGCGCGCCGAAATCCTTCCAGAACGCCGGGTGTCGCAAGGATTTCGAAATCGAGCGTCGCGAAGCCATGGAACAACACATGGCTTCGCAACGACAGTTTTCATGCAACCTTGCATCCCTCTTGCGGGTTCTGAAGGAGACCATCGCTTCTTCAACGTGTCCATGGAATTATGCCGCGCGGGCCTCTCGCGCCGCATGTCGAAATCATTCGAACGCCCTCGCGCGCGTGCGGCTGGGGGCTTTCTCGCGCGCGCTGCCGCGAGAAGCCAGCGCATAACGCAAGGGGAAGCGCGCGCGTCGCATCGCGCGCGCGCCGAAATTTCCCAAGAGCCCGAGGCGTCGCAAGGATGTCCAAACCGAGCGTTGCGATGCCGCAACGACAGCTTTCGCGCGGCAGATGATACGAGGCACGCTCGGCGGGGGGAACCCCTGGGGAGGACCCGTCAGAGCGGACCGAGGGTAGTGCAGGCCAGCGTGAGCGGGAGCCTCAGTAGTCGTCTTGGCTCAAGCACCGAGTTGAGTTCAAGGCAGAGTGCCAGCCCTGCGCCCGCGCCGCCCCCCTATGCCAGGGCCGTGGGTTTTGTCGGCGTCGGACCCGGAGTACGCCAAGGCGTTGCGCCTGAAGGCGGACAGCATCATCGAGGTCCGGTGCTACGACGACGACGGGGGCGACCAGGGCACGGCCATCCTGCGCCTGGAGGGCGACGGGAAGGTCGGCGACACCATCCAGGCGCGGTGCGTGGCCGCGAGCGACGATTATTACGCTCATTGGGCGGCTCGGCAGGAGAAGGTGGGCCAGTGCCACTTCTGCCGGGGTCGCCGGGAGCGATGCCGGACGACCGACGTCACCACCCGCATCGAGACGCTCCGGGAGCTCTCGACCGCGGACTTGGGGAAGGGCGGCCTCAAGTGGGTCCAGGGGCCCGCCGCGAAGGCCGTGGAGGAGATCCTCAAGGACCGTGAGCGCGGCGGAGGGGCTCCGCCATCGCGCTCGCCTCCAGCGGCTGGCCCCCGGCCGCCAGCCGAAGGCGGAAGGCCAGCCCGAGTGCGGCAGGCAGAGGAGCTGTTCGAGCCGGGCGAGGGCAAGGCGGGCGACTTCGAGGGGGATTTGCGCGAGCTCAAGGACAGGGCGGCCGAGGGGGGCCCAGGCGGGATCGCAGGGGGCGCGAACGCTCGCGCTCACCGAGTCCCCGGGGTCGCCGGGCAGAGGAGAAGCGAGCCAGCAGGAGCGGCCGACGGTCGCGGCGAGGACGCCGGGACCCGTTCGGGCCTGCTGCAGGAGGAGATCGTCGGGGAGCCGTCCGGGCACGTTCCCCGCGCGAGGAGAGAGGAGCTGGCCGCGGTGCAGATCGCGGAGAGGCCGCGGGCGCTCGTCCACAGGAGCCTGAGCAGCAGCCAAGGAGGCGCAAGGAGAGCCCCAAGAGGGGCGGCGACGCAGTCAGGAGGAGCAGGGAAAGGAGCACGCAGAGGAGGAGGAGCCATAGCCATGAGAGGGGCAAGAAGAGGAGGACCAGGACGAGGTCCCGAGGGCAGAGAGGAGGGAGCCATGAGAGGAGCAGGAAGAGGAGGTCCAGATCGAGATCGCGAGGGCGCCGGAGTCGGCGGCAGAACAGGAGGTCCTCGCGGACGGACTGGGGGCCTTTCGGGGCCAGTGCGCCGATGGACGAGAGGAGTCGGAGTCCGAGCTATGCGTCGAGTTTTCGCTCAGCCTCCCCTTCGCGCGGGCAGCTGTCTCACAGCCGCCTGCTGGAGTACGCGGTGCGTCATCCAGGTCGGTTAGCCCAGAGGCTGCTTGCAAGAATGCGGGCTCTGTCCGATCGCGGGGGGGGGGGGGGGGGGCGTCCACGGCGACGGCCTCAGAAGTACAGCAAGGAGCCATGCGCTACTGGTTCGCGATCCTCCAGCCCCAGAACCCCAGCATGGGGCCCCTGAATGCGCGGGAGACCAAGACGATTTGCACCGCCTTGGATCTTCTGGCCGAGAAGCGCTACGGCGAGGCAGCAGACCTCTTGGGCCAGAGGTTGAAGGCCATCGAGAGGGCCCTCAAGGACGGGCACTGGCAGCGGGCCGTGTGGTGCGAGCTGATCCCCCCCGACGACGTGACGCTCTTGGACCGTGCGGAGGACAAGATGCTCGCGCAGGAGGAGCGCCTGCAGAACCAGCTGCACTCCAAGAAGCAGAACAACTACCAGGACTACGGCAACATGAACAAGGGCAACCAGGGGTACGGCAAGGGCAACAAGAGCGACGACCCGAAGGGGAAGAACAAGGGGGCGAAGGGCAAATGGGATCGCAAGGGCGGCCGCCCTTACTAGGAGGCCCCGCGATAACCCTTCAGGAACTCCGAGCGCGTCTCCGGTGCCAAGGGTCCGGGCGGCTCTCGGTGCTGGCGATGGGTAGGGTGCTTTGGGAGACTGTGTGCCGGTTGCCGACTCCCCTTGGGGGTTTCGTGCGCTGCGCCTCACTGGGCGTTCCGCCCGACCGGCGCCGGTCTCTCCTGCCCCTGCCAGTCGAGGAGTTCGTCGAGGTCGGCTCCGCCCGCTTCCGGAGCTCAGGGAAGGAAGCAGAGGCGGATATCAGGTGCTGGTGCCGCTTGATTGCCCATTCGCTGAACTACCTTGGGGCCGGGTTCGGAGCCTCTGGCCGGGGGGGGCCGCCTCCCCGGCGCTCGAATCCAGCGCAACGTCGGGCCATGGCTCGGTTAGCGGAGGTCCTGCAGTGGTTCTTGGCGGAGGACGACGCGGACCCGCCCGCGCTCTCCGACGTCTTCCGCGAGGCCCGCCAGAAGAAATTCAATTATGGGGGTGAGGCCGTGACCCACCGCAGGGAGCTGTATGCCGATCTTGTTTTCCCGACGTGGCCGGCTAGCCACGAGGTGGGCGTGCTCGATCTCACGGATCTCTTGGTCGGCGACCTCAAAGCGACAGTGCAAGACCCATCGAAGTGCTTACGGCCGCGGGGCGAATGGCCCGACAAGCCCCACGTCTCCAGGGTGCACGCTTCCCAACACGAATGGGACAAGCTGGCCGGCGAGGGGCTTCGACGGGGCATTTTTCAGGAGATCGAGGGCAACAGGGTGTTCAAGGCGAAGGATGGGTCGCGCCTGCTCAACGGGGCCATGGGGGTCAACAAGTTCAAGGAGGTCCAGGGCAAGGCGATGCACCACCTCCGGGCCATCACGATTATGACCCCCCTGAACCAGCATTTGCGCGAGATCACTGGCGAGGTCGATTACCTCCCGTGCATTGCCCACGCAATTCTCATCATCCTGGGCGCCGACGAGGAGGCAGTGGTCGACAGCGAGGACTTCGTGAGCTGCTTCAACCTGGTGCGCATGCCTCGCTCGTGGACCGGGTTCCTGGCTTACGAGAAGCCCGTGTCAGGGTCGGTGTTGGGCCGGCCTGATGGATGTGACTTCTTGATCGGCATCACCACCGTCCCGATGGGGTGGTCTGGAGCGGTCGCGGTCATCCAGGCGGCGGTGCGCAGGCTGGTGTTCGGGGACGCGGAGGTGGACGTCCAGACCCGGATCGCCAGGTGCAAGCCCTTCCCAAGAGGCCCGGATTATTCGTTGGTCTACTTGGACCCCTTCGACTTCATCCGAAAGCGGTGCCGACAGGCCCTGGGGGAGCTAGGCGGCTCGGAGTCCAAAGAACACGCCCGCTTTCTAGACGCATGCCGCCTGATGGGTCTTCCTTTGTTGAATGCTGGAAAGACATTGGTAGGATCCTACCGCGCCGCGCTTCAGGGCGGCGAGTTCGATGGCAGGCCGGGCAGTTTGGCTCGCAGCCAGAAGCGGGGCAGGCATTTAATCCGACTTACTTCGGGCATGGCGGCCCAGGGTTTTTGGCCTGAAGTTGTTCTTCGCCATTGGGCTGAGCTTGCCTGCTACGCTCGTTCGTACCGGAGGCCCCTCTTCTCCCTCATGGCGGAGGTTTTCACGACCATGGACAACTGCCATGGGGGCGACGTCTTCCACGAGGCAGCCTTGGACGAGATCATACTCTTCGCTGCCCTGGCCCCGCTTGCGGCCACGAACCTGCGGGCGCCGCTGGCGCCGCGGATCAGTTGCACTGACGCTTCCCCAGATGGCGGAGGCGCTGGCCTCGCAGCGTCTTTCTCGAAGGTGTTGGGGGCCAGCTGCGCCGCCCAGGAGGATGAGGATGAGGATAGGGAGGGCGAGGTCGCGACGACGCAGGAGGAGGAAAACGACGACGTGGAGGACGCGCAGGAGCCCGAGGAGGATTGCCGCTAGGAGCCTGAGGAGGAAGAGGATGACGAAGAGGAGCAGGGCGAGGCGCCCCTGCAGAGCGCGCAGGCCCCTGGACCTCGACCAGCCGTCCTGCGAACGTGGCCGAAACTCGCCCTCTGCAGGTTCCCGTGCCCGGGCGGCTGCCCGGCCCGCCTCGACACTTAGGAAGGGTTGCGCGTTCACCGCGAGGGCCCGCGCAGGAGTTGCCAAGGAGTGCCCTTCGGCAGCGCGCCGCGTTGCTTGCACGTCGGCCTCGAGGGGCTCTACGAGCAGATGGGAGCCCCCATCGCGGAGAAGGGGATCGAGGTAAAAATGGAGGTCATCATCCAAAACGGCGTCGTGAAGAACGACGTTGAGGCCCCTGAGGCCTGGGCCCATTTTCAGCCCGAGGGGCGAACAGTGGCCCGGAGCGGGGACGGCATCGCCTTGCGCAGTTGGAGGGCGCGGAAGGGGCTTCCGCGCTTGCCGGCCGCTCTGAGCAGGGAGGTTCGCAAGGAGAATCTGCAGCACGCCTTGTGCGCCCGAGCGTTGCAGGCCGAGGGCAAACGCGAGGGCGCGACCGTTGCGCAGGTGGACTCTGGCAGCTGGTGGCTGGAATGGCCGCGGCTGAAGCATCTCAGGCACATGGGGGAGGTATTCTACACGTCTGTGGGGCCTCACGTGCTGGCGCATACTTCGCCAGAGCTGCACCAGAAGTTTCTCGGGCGCTGGAGCGCAAATGAACGCGCTGAGACCGCTCTCGACTGGGTCAGCGAGTACGCCGAGGAGGTGCATAATTACATCGCGCGCGCTCGAACGGCGCTGCTCCCTAGCGATCCTGGCGAGCGACAGCCGTGGTTGAGGCGGCAGCTGGCTGGCGCTACTAACCGCCTGGCCGACGGGGCCGTCAACGAGGTGGTCGCCCAGGAGCTCATGCGCTGGATCAGCGGCATGCTTCCCGGCCTCGAGGCGGAGCACGTGTGCCATCTCATCCGGTACGTGGATCACCGGGGCTCCGACGTGCAGCTGTGGGCCGGCGAGCTTCTACGGCAGTCGCGGCAAGCAGCCCCGTGCCCTGCCTTCCGGTGGGCATGGAAGGCGGTGGCGTCGTACCCGTGGTCGGAGACAGGCCACATCAACGTCTTGGAGGTCTTGGCCTTCCTCTATTTTGTCCGGCAGTCGACGGGGAGCGGAGTGCTTCAGTCGACCCAGTTTGTGCATGTTGTGGATGGCATGGTAGCGTCGGCAGTCATCGCCACAGGGCGGTCCTCTTCTAAGCTTCTCAACTTTCGGTTGCGTCAACTGGCAGGACTCCTGCTTGCCGCGGATGCCTACCCCTACGTCGTGTGGGCGATCTCTTCTTGGAATTTCGCCGACCGCGCGAGCCGGTGGTGGCCGGCGCGGGGCTTTCCAGAGCAACATGGGTAAGTTCCTCATGCGGCACCGTGCCGCGCGACGGAAGGGGTCACTCAGGGAAGTTGGGATCAAGGAGGCAACGCTTCGACGCTATCGAATTCGTTTTCGTTCATTTTTTGATTATTTGGAGCTGCGAGGGCAGGCTCTGCCGCACAGCCTCGAGGAGCTGGACGCGAGGGCCAGCGAGTTCGTCGACCACCTGTGGGGCGAGGGAGAGCCAGAAAGCTGGGCCACTGATATCGCCTCTGGCTTGAAGCGCCTGGTCCCCAGAGCTCGGAAGGCGCTCACCGTAACGGGCTTCTTCCTCAACAATTGGCGCCGGACAGTTAGCCGATGCAGGGCTTTACCGTTCACGCCACTCATCGTCAAGGGCCTGGCGGGGATGGCGTTCGCGGAGGATTTGTGGAACTTCGGCACCGCTCTCTTAGTTGGCTTTGTGGGGTTGCTTCGTACAGACGAAATTTTGGGGCTCCGCTCACGCCGCGTCATGTTCTATGAGAGCCACCAAAAAGCCATCATCATCTTACCCGAAACGAAAACGGGCTCCCGAGAGGCTAGAGTGGAAAAAGCAATGGTGAACGACACCGTTGTCGTCCGCGCCTTGGCCAAAGTCTGCCAACAGCTGAACGGCGACGAACTGCTGCTGCCAATGCGCCCTCACGTTTTCAATGAAGAGCTCAGGAGGTTGGCAGAGCCGCCGGCATCCAGTCACGGGGCGTGTCTGGATGTAGCTTGCGCCGGGGCGGCGCCACGTGGCATTTCCTCTCTGGTGGCAGCTTGGGGCGCGCGATGGTGCACGGCCGGTGGGCCCATGAGAAAACAGCGCGGATCTATATCGACGGGGCTCTGGCCCAGCAAGCCGATTGGGCACTCAGCGAGTCGGCTCGCGCGCTCTTAAGGCTCGGGGGCCGAGTCGCGGCAGGCTTGCTGGGGGGTGGTGCCGGTCGGCAGTGACAAGGGTGCTGTCGGGGAAGGGGGGCTTCCTCCCCCTGGGGGGCAGGGTCGCAGGGCCCTCGCCCTCTGGGGTCCGGCGCCGTGTGGCGGGGCTAAGGGGCTTGGCGTTGAGAGCCGGGCGGCGTGGTTAACCATAGGGTTGCCCTCGCTTGCCCGCCCGCCCTCCCGCGCCTTCTGGTTGAAGCTTCGTCGCCCCGCATGGGGCAGGTCCGCGGCGCGCTGCCTGCAGGCAGGCTCGTGCTTGTCTAGGCTCGCTCGTGCGGGCCATGGGTGCAAAGGCTCCCAAGAAATGCATAGCCCGGCGTTGTCTGGGGGGGTGCGGGGTGCGCCCCCCTGGAATGGGGGCACGGGTGGTTGCGTGGCGCCCGGGGGCTGGGCGTCGCCAGGGTCAGAGGCTGGCCTGGGTGGCTGTTGGGGGAGGGGCCCCCTCGCCAATTCACGCGTCATCGCTTGCATGCCATTGGATGCGCAGGCCGAGGCAGGTAGCGCGCAAGACAGCGCCGAGGCGCAGCGCAAAAACAGAGGCATGCACTTGATATGAGGCACGCTTGGCGGGGGGGACCCCTGGGGAGGGCCCGTCAGAGCGGACCGAGGGTAGTGCAGGCCAGCGTGGGCGGGAGCCTCAGTAGTCGTCTTGGCTCCCACCACCTCCCCAGCGTCCTCCTGTGAGCCAGCGCCCGGGGGCCGGGCGCCGCCTGGGCCAGGGGCTGGCCTGGGTGGCCGTTGGGGGAGGGGCTCCCTCACCAGTTCACGCGTCATCGCTTGCATGTCATTGGATGTGCAGGCCGAGGCAGGTAGCACGCAAGACAGCACCGAGGCGCAGCGCAAAAACAGAGGCATGCACTAGTGTTTGGTCGCGCTCGCGCTCTTGCGACTTCTTCAGAATGTGGTTCAACATTATTAGTTGAATTCTGCCAGCTGGGCCCCTCGCGCCGAGCGCCGACATCGCTCGCGCGCCCAGGCGCGCGCTGGGGGGGGGGGGGGGGGGGGGCGCGATCCGCGTCAGATCATGCCACGCGGGGCACTCTCGCGCGTCGGCCGCGCGCGCATGTCGAACCCCGCCCAAGCCCTTCATCGCCGACGAGAGGGCGCCGTCATCGTCGACGGCGCGACCAGCATCGGCGTCGTCACTGGCCGCGCCGCCGCCATTGTCAACGTCGCCACCATCGCGTATGCTGTCGTGGACGTTGCCATGGTGGCGCGCCCGCCCAAGTCGCCGACTCGCACACATGCGCCCGCTGGGGCGCGCCCCGCGGTCAGCGCCGCCGCGGCCGCGTCGGTCGCGCCAGACCAGCTGGCCGCTGCGCGCGCGCATGCGCGGGCCAGCGCGGCCGCAGAGATGCACCAGCCAACGCCCAGCACCCGTGGCAGTCGCCGCCGCTCGCGTCTTGCAAGATAGGTCGCGGGTTGGCGGGCGGCGCGGTTTCGCGAGCAGTGGAGTTGGTAACTGCGAGATCCACAAGTGCTTTGCGCAACGTAGGTTTTAATTTCTCGAGTGAATGCTGCCCCCCCCTCCCCCCCCCCAGGATTATTGGCGCCCCTGCTTCGCGCTGCAGTTCGCATGTGATTCCGCCGCGTCGTCTTACATATGAACTCGCACCATCCCAGCTTATCTGGCATCGACCCCCCCCCCCCCTCCGCCATTCTCTGCAACGAATATCATGCGCGCGCTCGCCTATCAAAACCCATCAGTTGTCAGGGGCCCCCTGCAGCAGATGGGGCGAAGTGCGCGCGCGTCGTCGCGCGTGCATGTCGAAATCCTTCGCACCCTCGCGTTTCGTCGGGGTTGCACACTCCGAAGAACACATGAAACAATGATTTCGCCACGCGGCTTATACACATATATATATGTATATATGTATACATACATATATATATATATATATATATATATATACATACATACATATATACACACGTACATATTATAAGCATGCGCGCGTGCTGTTGCGAGTTCTTAAGAAACCATCGGGCTTTCAACATTGCACGAAACGCTGCCAAGCGGGCTTGGCGCGCGCATGTCGAAGTAGTTCGAACGCCCTCGCGCGCGCTGCTGCGAACACCCCCTTCAACAGATGGGGCGAAGCGCGCGCGCGCGCTGCAATCCGACACGCATTTTAGGTTTCGCAAGGATTTCGAAACCCAGTGTCCCGCGCGCTCGCCCAAGTCGCCGACTCGCGGTGAAGTGCCCGCTCGGATGTGCCCAGCGGTCATTGCCGCTGCGGCCGCGCCGGTCGCGCCAGACTAGCTGGCCGCCGCGCGCGCGCATGCGCGGGCTAGCGCGGCCGCAGAGATGCACCAACCAATGCCAAGCACCCATCGCAATCGCCGCCGCGTTGGTTCGGCAAACCCATTTGCGGGTGGGCGGGCGGGATGATTGCGCGAGCAGTGGGTTTGACAACTCACTGCGAACGAAAATCCGTTATCATTCCTTGAAGTAGAACAGATCCTGCCCCCTGGGATTATCGGCGCTCTGTTTCGCGTTGAAATTCGCCCTTGGTTCTGCCGAGTTGTCCAGCCCGCATGTGAACTCATTCTATCCCAGGGGAGTCGGCCGAGACCCCCTGCGCCATCCCCTGCAACTAGTAGAATGTGCTCACATTCGTTGATTATGAACCATCAGTTGTTATGAATTCTTTGCAAGCGACGGAACGAAGTGCACGCGCGCGCGTCGTCTCGCGCGCATGCCGAAACCCGTCAAAAAACCTGAGGTGTCGCAGGGATTTGCAGACCGAGTTTCCAATATCCCCAGTGCGGCCCTACCTAGAAGTTGGAGCCCCTAGGAAAGCAGCATCAGCTGCTATGCTATGCTATGGTGCGCTATGCTATGTTATGCTATGCTATGCGATGCTAGGTTATGGCAATCTATGCTATGACATGCTGTGCTATGCTATGCTGTGATCGGCTATGATATGTGTTAAGCTGCGCTTTGCTATGAATTGCTATACTATGGTATGCTATGCTATGCTATGCTATGCTGCGCTATGCTATGCTACGCTATGCTGGGCTATGTCATGGTATGCTGTGCTGCGCTATACTATGCTACGCCATGCTGTGCTGTGCTGTGCTCTGCGATGCTAAAGCCCAGCGAAGCTAAGATGAAGGCAAGTTGAGCTACGATAGACCTGAGCTAAGATGAAGATAAGCTAAACTAAGCTGAAATAAGCTAAGCTAAGATGAGATAGAACGCGCTCGTGGGGCCCGACAAACTAGAAGGGGGGGCCCAGCTTGAAGCTACCCCCCTCCCCCCTTCCTTGCTAAAAGGGGGGGGGGCTTCGGACCCCCCCCCCCTCCCCCTTTTTTCGTGGTCCGGAGAAGAAGGGGGGGGGGCTTCCAAGCTACCCCCCCCTTCCCTCCCTTTAATTGGGCCGGGGTGAGCCACCCCCCCCCCTTTGAAAGGGGGGGGGGCTTCGGAAGCTACCTCCCCCCTCCCCCTCTTTTCGTGGCCGGAAAAGGGAGGGGGGGGCTTCCAAGCTACACCCCCCCCCTCCCTCGTTTTCATAGAGATGGGGCGAGCCACCCCCCCCCTTCGAAAGGGGGGGGGGGGCTTTGGAACCCCCCCCCCTTCCCTTCCTTGGTGCAAAAGGGGGGAAGGGGCTTGAACCCCCCCCCCCTTCCCCCTTTTGGCCGCCCAGCTCCCGGAGCCATCGCCCTCTCTTTCGCCTCCATTTATTCCCGCCCCTCTCCCTCCTCCTCTTCTTCCTTTTGCCTCCTCCTCTTCCTCGTCCTCCTCATCCTCCTCATAGTCATCATCGTCATCATCATCATCATCATCATCATCATCATCATCATCATCATCATCATCATCATCATCATCATCATCATCATCATCATCATCATCATCGTACTCCCCCGCGGGTCCTTCCGTTCCGTTCCTCCTCCTCCTCCTCCTCCTCGGTTTTCTCCTCCTCCTCCTCCTCAATGTTTCCCTCCTCCTCCTCCTCCTCCTCCTCCCCATCCGCCTCCCCCATCCTCCGCCTCTTCCTCCCCCAGCTGGCCGCCGTCTTACACGAACACTGCCAAACCTGACGGGCTGGCGTTCTCCGAATTTCACTTCGTGCCAACTTTCGGGGGGAATAGTATTTGTCCCAACCCTCCTTGGTTGGGTATTCGTTTTGAATAGAGCAGTGTGGTCTCCACTTCCTCCTTCCCGCCCCGTCTCCCTCCTGCCTCCTCCTGTCTTGCTTGCGGGGGGCTGCGATCTGTGAAACTGTCGCCACTTTCGAGGCTTGCTGGGGGGCCCAGCACAGTGACGCCACGGGCGGACCCAAATTAGACCTCGCCATCCCTGGGGGGCTGCGATCTGTGAAACTGTCGCCACTTTCGAGGCTTGCTGGGGGGCCCAGCACAGTGACGCCACGGGCGGACCAAAATTCTTGACGCTTCGCGTATCCCCACCAGCCCATCCTACACCAGGCACTCGAACGAAGAGCGCCGATGATCGGCAGCTGCTTTCCTCCCCTCTTCCTCCTTCTCCTCCGCCTTCTCCTCCTCCTCCTCTCCTCATCCTCCCTCTCCTCCTCCTCCTCCTCCTCCTCCTCCTCCTCCTCCTCCTCCTCCTCCTCCTCCTCCGCCTCCTCCGCCTCTTCCTCCTCCCTGGTGGCGTATTGGAAGTGTCTTCGAACGTTTTGGTGGGCTCTTGGGCCTTGCGGGCGGGCGGGCGGCGCTCCGCCCGCCCGCGCGCAGAGCCCAAGAGGGGGTCCAAGACGTCTTTTGGAACAATCTTGGAGGAGATCGATCAACGAAGGGGGGTTCCCTAATTACAGCCCCCCCCTCAGGAGCCACGATCCTCGTGATGGGTGTCGAATTTTAGCCTTCCCAGGAATCGATCTTGGACGCTCTAACTACCCGCGGCCCCCCCTGTCCAGGTCAGTGGGGAGGGCGTCGGGGGAGGGGTAAACCCCTCCCCGAAGGGGAAGAAGGAGGGGTGGACGAGGAAACGCT